CCTTTACCCTGCCTGATTCGCAGAGCTGACGGTGACAGCCTGCAATTCCTACCCTGTGGGCCGCTAACCGACAAACTAAGCGATCTTTTTACTACTCCTAGGTTGAATAAATGCATTAGATCTGGAGGTAATCCAGGAATGAGTCCAATACTGCACGGCAGGAATGATGAATTGCCTACTCTACAACACGTTGCTAATAATCGGGTTTATAATTCTGTCTAATATGGGCCAAAATTCGCCTTTTGACTTACGACTAATTTGTATGTTAGCTATTCCAATGTACACTATTAACTCAGAGGCATGTTTGACAGTACCCGCATTAAGTGAGATGATATTAATCATCTGACGTCCAAGGCCAAAGTGGACATACTACCCCCTCGATATTGGGCCTACACTGCAAGTGGTTGTTGTTTCTAACAATATTTTAGGATTGAGAGGCATATCTCTCACAAGCTCTTTAAATATGGGTAACAAGGTCTTCAGATAACAGTGCGGTGTGGGTGGGTGGGCAGCCCACAATCTCACCACTTCCTTCAAAAGCAACTTTTCATTTTCAACTGTCTTATCCACTGTGCTTGCACTGCAAACACAGGAGGCTTGTACGCTCACATCGTTAAAGCTATCCGCGGAATTGGCCAGTTCAAACTCATCGTTGTCCACCGTGTATTCTGATTCCGACTCTGACGTCGAAAATTACGAATCGGAGGACACTGAGCCAGGTTTTACCCCCACATCCTCCACTTTCTGATGCCTTTTCTTCACTTGTCGTACGATAATCTTCTAAAAGATCTCTTAAATTCTCTTGGGAACATGTAAAATACAGAGAGTAAACGGGTGAGTAGATAAGAATGGCCGCCATGGCAAAACAGGTCAGACACTTGGGTCACCAAAACTGGAACTACATCGTATTTCGAAACCGTACTTTATGGGGCTGGACACATCGACTCCGCGAACTAGCTGAATCCCAAGGTGCGGCAATGACTGAAAGACTCGATAGGACTTGTTACCTGACCTCTATGCGTGAAGCTCTTACTCGTGCCAAGTCGATGTCACCCTCGCGCCCGCACGCACTGGCGAGGTGCCAATTCTGTCATTTAGTCCTTGACACTCATAGGCCAATTGCACTCAGGACGGAGAATCAGGCTGCTGTGGCTCCTTTTTGCTACGGACTTAGTGGCACGCCCATTCAACTGCGATCCGAGCCGCCCCTAGTTATTGTGTAAACCCGATCATCTATCGTGTGCAGACGAGGCGTGTGTGGCTCGCGTAGACGGGCCGTTCAGTTCTGTCAGCCAGTGAGCTCGATCTCTCCTCCGGTCCTCTTGACTCAGTTTTGACACCGGGAACAGGTGGGTAACGGAGGAAAGTGCGTCAGATGCAGCACAAGTCTACTATCACTACGAATCAGTTTCGACAAGCAAGTCACTGTCCCTGCGCCCACCTTACTGTGAGGCATACGCTGGACATCGTCAGTAACGACGGTCGAATTGTCAAACCGGCTGGAGTCAACGGACGCATCCTCGCGAAGGTGAATTAATGGTCTTCCTTCAGCGCTTGGGCAGGTGGCGGCCACCCCCCTCCCCCCCCCCGAACAGGCCGGTTGTGGTGTTCTCGTGAACTTAGTTCTCCTGCGATCATACCCGTATGGTGACAGGTCAGGCGAATCTAATAAGAGGTCCGGCGATTAATCCCTCTTCTCACTTGCAAAAAAGAAAGCGGGACTGGAATTTTTCCTCGATTCATGTAGACCTCTGCCTACTTTTCTAGCGTAGCCTCAGGCGTCCTCCATCTGCCTTCATGAATTATTGACGTCTCGCGCGTACTTACAGGCTTGAACCGTATCCCACTTGCTATCTGCTATCAGCACCCTATAAGTGCTTAGTCGCTCTGCTTAAGACATGTCTTTATTCAATGTGCGCTTAAAATCAAACAATGGTTTGCGCATAGACGAGAAACCATGAGACAAAACCAAAATAATGGTCAGGACGGACAGCGCGCCTAAAACAACACAGTTCTAACTTTGGTCTGCGGTCTGTAGACCGTACTTTATTGTGAACTTTACTTAAATTATACAAAATAAAGAGGCTGTTGTTCGGTCACATTTGTCGTGCTCCGCAACCTCGACCCTCGCAAGTCGCCCTGTCCATTTCTCGCAAGGTCGTTTTTCAACCCTCTTCAGCACTTGCTTTCTGTTAGATGTTCTTTCTGATCCTCCTTGAAAGGTGCGTGAGCATTCAAGGAATCTGCAGATTCCTCAATATCACTTCGCGTAGATAAGTGAGAAGTTATTGACTTTCACCCGCCAAAACTTCAAGGGGCGCTTCGGAAATGTCGGTTTCCGTTCGCATCGGAGCAGCCGTTGGCTACTCCACCACATGCACGTCAGAACACAACCTAGGGCATCAGATTCCAGCCCGGTAATAGGCATTTCGACCCAAAGCTGGTCGAACTTATTTTTGGGACATTGGGCTGTCAAATACCTCAAGCACGGACTCATCCCCTATTAGCCGTAGGCTACATTTCGTAATTGCCAGATTTATGTCCTCTAGGACTTTTTTGGTGGACAACGCAGATCCAAATATGATGATGTGACTATGGAAGTGGCAATGCAGCCCTTCCACTTAAATGGACGTCAATCAATAAAACTGCGTGGCAAGACACGAACTGTGTGCGACCGCAGGCGACACGCGCAAAAACGCGATATATCGAAATTAATCAAGAAACTTTTTCTATGAGAACTGAATAAATGAGTAGGTGCGACTCAGCCACGTGGCGAAGTGCCTGCAGCTCGCCTGAAAAGGACAATGATATGGAGGCAAACGGCGATAAAATGTCACCTACCCCTGCGGAAGGCGATACGAGCACGTGGAGTGAGCTTTCTGGTGAGTTGAGTCCTCTCACAGTAAAGAATCTGCAAGCAGCATCTTCAGTTCTAGCAATACCACCACCCAAAGAAGAGTGCGCGGAGATTCCTACGATAAACGCAAGGACTAAACAACTATCTAGCCTCGAGGCATCAACGGCAGAAGCCCGGCATTCCGAGTGTGTCTTTAACTACACAAGGACGGGAGAATTACCACGAAAAGCGGCCCCACAGGTCCACGCAGAAACTGTCCCCCTGCAAAAGAGGGTGATCAAACATGAACCCCTCCAGGCACCTCAATTTCTATCGTGCGCGTCAGCCCAAAAAACGGCCTCCTACGAAGTTCACCTCGAAGTTCTACCCAAAAGGCAGAATAAACGGTGTTCTAGAGGCCTAATACCTTCACATATACAAAAGGACGCTACTGAAAGTCTTGAAAGTAGTCGCACGTTCCCAAGAATATCAGTTGATAGGACAGATGACCATCCACTGAAGACTGTGTGCGTGGAAATTTCTGGCCGAACAATTACTGTAACTTCAGATGGTTTGAGCCCGCAGAAGTATCGTCTACCTGCATCACAAACCGCTGGTGTCAGCTTTTCCTTCACAATGAACGACCAGCGTGAGAAATCCTCGTCTCCACTGTCCACGCCATCTCTGAATAGCCATGTTGCACAGGCAACACAGAGACTGCAGACAAGAGACCTGCAGGTTCCGAAATCAACCTTGCCCCCAGAAACTTCTGAAAAGCCCAGCAGAAACGGAACGACTTTCAGACCTGAGCAGAGGGACGGGGGCCAAATTGCGTCACCAAACTCTACTGACATTCAAATAACGAGGGGCGACCAGACCCAATCGCCTGAACCGACATCCAGTAATAGCGGCTCGTCTGGCATGGAAGAATCTGAGCTGAAAGCATTTCTCCGATTTCTCCAAGGCACAATTAATGCTTACAGCCTCGATCATCGTAGCCTTCAGCAACATCAGGGTGGGAAAAGGACCAGACTCCCAAAACACCACGCTTCAGCAGGGAGTTATTATGAGGGAACAAAACTACTGGACGTGATTACGCATGCTCTTGGTGACAATAACTCAAAGACATTTGATGATGGACGCACGACCCGATTTTCCAGACCCACATTTCGCGAAGACGGCTTTGGAAGGCGTCGGTGAGCCCACCCCAGAGATGATTTTGCCGTGCCCTTCTATCTCACTTTTCGATTGGTTTTTTCCGTTTTGAACTTATTTTTTTACTAGCAATTGCTTTGGAGTTGCCATGTGTTCAACTGAAGTTATTTAATTAAAATTTATTTAAATTTACCTAGACCTCTAGTGGGTGGCCTTGAATAGAGACGAACTCAAGAGAATGCGGTCATGTGACAAAACAGGCAAATATACCCATACCCATAGGGCCATCCTCCGAGGCCCGCACGCGCAAAAAGGCTAACGTTATTTGTTGCAGTCAGCTCCGACGATGGACACTGGTGAAAGGTCGGAAGATCAGAAGAATATGTATGTGGGACTACTCCGACGAGTACCGGGACACTGAATATTCAGTTATAGCAGCTAAAATATATTGGTAGATGTGCATTAGGACGACGTTAGTCGGCCGTGCAATAAAGAAAACGCTGTTAGACAGTAGATAAGGTTTCTCAGTTTAGTGATGTGCAAAGCCCATCAACGCAGGCTGCCTATGGGACGAGGGAGGACTTCGCATATTTCTTTAAGTCAACCTTCGAAAATGAAATCTACACAGGATCTCTGATGCCCAGCAGGAGGAATTTAAAGTCATAGAGGAGATGCGGTGTAAGTTCCCGTAACCTTCGAGTCAACATAAACGACCCATTGCACAGAAACCCTCTAGAAGCCGAACTGTACCCTATTTGTGTTCTATCAAAAAACACTGAAGTCTGCATATTCGAGTCAAATACTGTTTCCTGAAGAGATAAACCGAGCTTCAGCAAAATGTGAAAAGATTAGCAAGGTGTGAAAAATTCCGAATGCAAACAAACAGTAACATTGGGAAACCGGTCAATGAGACGTAAACGGCGCGAGTTAAACAACAGCAATAACTACCATCAAATAACGACGATAAAAAGGAGTCTTTGTGATGACAAGAAGAGTTGACAGCTGTCATCTACTTATTGGAGTCTGCCACTTTGTTCACTCCCTCATCCACTTCTTCGTCAGCAAAGGAGCTACTAAGCGAGATAGTCTGGCGAAGAGCATTATCTAGAAGTTGTTCAGTTGATGGTAGGTCTGTGGCCTCAAGAAGGGATTCCGGTGGGGTGGAGAGACGGAGACACTCAGCATCGAGTCTCAGGCTTTCGTTTGGAAACTCGGCCTGCTCACCTAACCGCTGCACCACCTTTTCCTCCCCTTCACAATCTCCACTGCTGTGTCGCGATGCAGTCATCAACAGTGCTTGGTCTGCATCACTCTGCTGATGGGGGAAGAGACGCGGCGTGCTGATCAGTTGTGGCGATGGAGGTGGCGGCGAGCCCGATGCCTCCTCTTCCATAGTCTCTGGGAAGGAGTCGCGTGCGGTGGAGGGCAGCAAAAGGTGAGGTTCCATGTCCGAACAACTGTGGCAGGGAAGTCCCTCGCGGGAGACACTGGCCCACTGAGTAGTGGTGACACTGGTGGCACCAGGACTGACGTCGCCCACGACACAAGGATCGTCACACCCATCGTTATTACTGCTCACTGGATCCTCGGGTATTTGTTTCTCTTCATTGGCCTCCTCGTATACTTCATTCTCATCCTCGTTTTCATCATCATCATCATCGTCGGAGAACTCCTGTACAGCGAGAAGGAGACTGCGTTTTGTGCCCTCACCAGAGGTATCGGTCGCACAGTTGCAGTTTTCCTGAGGCTCAAAGTCCTCATCGTAGCTAACATGGCTGTTATTAGTGCCAGTAGCGGTGTCAGAAACTGACTCAGGGAGTCGCGTGTCAGCGTGGACGACGATCCCACCGGCTTCCTCCGCTTTGCAGTCTCCTTGTTTGACTGACTCTAAAGACAGAGTTACGAAAAATGATGAAGACAACGAAAGGCGTAGCAGGTTAGCTAACTCGTTCTAAGGAAGTTAAAACACTGTGCGGATCCCTAGGTGCTATAACCATTTGTGCAATCTAAGCTCAGTTTCGATAGTACGGTGTCACCGCGAGCGACCTACGCTTATAAAAATCGCAGTCCCCTCTCTGTCTTTGTCTTGGTGTTCTGAGTAGGTACTCTGCTTTACAACGACCAAAAGGCCTTCGCTAGATGCCATCTTTTTCTCTTCCTGGGCTCATGTTGATCGGTAACCGAACATCAATACCAACATGATGTTTTGATCAAACGGTTCAATTTACTAAAGTCGACCGCAGATGCTGAGGGAGGCTGTGTGGTCAGGCGTTGGCATGCATGCAAAAGTTAGGAGGAAAAATAGGCGAAAATAGGAGAAAAGGGTAGAAATAGCTGAGGAGGAAAGGCTCGGGCGGTGGGAGAAAGAATAGAGCGGGTTTACTCGTTGAGAAGTTTTTAGTGTCGGATTTACTAACTTACCCAGGGGTCGAGATTCAGAAATAAGTTTCTTGGTATCACCTCTGGCCTGTAAAAATGGTTCACGCACGTTGGAGTACAGTAATTCGTTGGGGTTTCCAACGAAATCCGATTTTATCTCCCCCGCCGAGAGCACATCCGAAGTCTCGGGGTCTGAATGTCTGCGAGGAAACGTCGGGTCTGTTTCAAGCTCGGTGAGGGTCTCCTTCAACCACCTAAGGTCTGAAGCCATGGGAGTGGGTGTTGTCTGCGTTGCATCACCTCCTCCTCCTCCAGCAGCCTGACGACGGCGTAGCTGGTGACTGCGAAGAGCGGCTGCGGTGCGCTGTACCTCAACGAACCGGTTCCAGGGCAGTCGTGAACTACTGCCTGCCGCATTGAGAGCCATGAGGTGGAGCAACGGGTTGCGCCAAGGTGCAACCCAGGCACTGTTTCTTTTAGTAAGTTTTTCTGCGGTCAGTTCACCGCAGCTAAGTGTGTCCGTGGAGTTACTCCTATCGGCCTGCAAACGGGACACACGCTTTACATTGTTGGACAAGGGAGTATACGAAGATAAAAAGTGACTCCACACCTATGGGTCCAGGCGCTCATGGGTACTAAGAGCTCAACTTTTGGTCGAAGTATAATGATTTGGTAAGGACAATTGCTTCACTCGGATCATACATAAGAAGGAGACATGACAATTATCACGCTTAGGGTGGTTTCTCCTTATCCACAACGGGCAACTTGTAGTAGGTCTTACTTCGAACAGTGAGATAATGCTCCGTCTTTAAAAACCGAACCAGGGTATAAAACCCTGGGACCTCGTGGCTGTGATAATAATTCGGTTCCTTGTGTTTCCATCAAGTTCTTCACATAGAACGCCTGCGATAGGTAACTAAAAGTCAGTCGCAATACGAAAGGTTTCGTTTTAAGGAAAAAACGCTGCATACGTAATGCGCACCAGGCAGTGACTGCAGTATAATGTCAGGTTATAAACGAAACTGAGACTACACAAAAGCGTGAAACGCCGCCATCGATGTCCGCAAAAACAGTCTGTGGCGGACGGTTATACAGCATCTACAAATTAACTACGCATGGTGGGACGCCTGAACTACTGATAGTTAATAAAAGGTTATGTGCATGATTCAAATTTCATGCATTAATACGAATAAGAAACTTTTATTTGCGCGCCATCATAGCAGAATCTGTGATAATGTAAGCCGAAAACACCTATCTCATACCAAATCCATTCAGGGAAGACCAAGTCTTTATAAACTCCCACCTCTTTCGGTTCACTGCCAGCACTATCGAGCTCCTGCGAGTCCGTCAGAGGTAGGGGTCCCAGCTTGGCGGCAGTCGAGGGACACAGTGAGTAGTGGGCCGCTTCGCCTTCAGACCTCTCCTCTAACCAAACACCGTCGCTGAAGGAGTGCGGCGCCGTGAGGCTCCATTCTGACGAAGGCCCTTCGGAGAGAGTCGAGGAGTAGGAGGAGGGATGCCCAGCTGAGGGCCTCCTTTCTGGAGATCGCAGCGTTGCGATGTCATTAGAAGGCGGCGAAACTGTGGCCTCCTCTCCGACTGCTGCAGTCGAGGTCGACGGTGGCGTCAGAGTCGGTGAGGGAGCCGTCACTGGTAAGGGAGTTCTAGGCGGTTCGCAGGGATCGGAGACCAGGGCTGGTGACTGTGCCATTGCAGATTCGTGCGGTGGAACGGCCTCAGACTGCATAGACAGGTGTGGTCGCGCCAGACTGGCCAGTGGTGAGGTTGTTCTAAAAGGATGCGGCGGGTGGCCTTACTTATGATTGACTTTAGTTATTTTTGTGGAATCTCGCATAAGGTCACGAAGTCGCTCGACTTTCACTGGAATTTCGTTGCAGTTTTCAGCACGTTATGTTAACCTCTCCAAAAGTCGGACAGAGAGGCGCCAACAAAAATGTCTAGGTTTTTCTTGGTGTCATCTGTTCACGATTGTAATTGACAGCCTCGTCAATTCTTTTTGACAGACTACCTGCAGACCCCATATTGATGAGAGTCAGACATGTGATGGATTAGTGTGATACTGACAGGCAATAAGCCTCTAGAGGTAAACATTTACAAAGTCGGCTTATCAATGTGGCATGTCTTCCACTGCCTGCTTTAGAAGGTAGTCTGGTCATAAATAGCCTTAAATACTGAAAATGAGAATATGTCATGTCGAGTAGACTGAAGGGTTCAAACCGCAGTAGTAGTAGTAGTAGTAGTAGTAGTAGTAGTAGTAGTAGTAGTAGTAGTAGTAGTAGTGGCGGCAATTTTCGTCACGGCTAAGCAGGAGAAGGGAGAGCGAGGTTGACCCCGGGAACTCTGTCCCCACGACAGCAAGCGCATACTCCTCCCTATAAACAGTCTGGTGCGCTTTCAAACTACTATGGCGAGCTTAAAGCCATGGCCTGGAAGGCTACCAACTGACGAGGTAACTCGGTCCCAGCAGGCTGCAATGGCTCCGCACTCAGTTGGGATCCGAGTCGTTCTTGGATTGCGTTGGAGCTTACTCACCGTACGCGGAGCGAACGCGTGTGGCACGCGCAGACGGGTTGTCTAGCATTGCTAGTCGCTGTGCCCTATCCCACCTCCGGTCTCCTCGGCTCTGTCTTGACATCGGGTACGGGTGGGTGAGGGGGGGGGGAGAAGTGCGGTGGAGGCAACGCAAGTCTACCACCACTTCAGACTAATCCATGCACAAGTCAGTCTCCGTGCCCAGCCTGCTGTGAGGTAGACAGTGGACATCAGCGGTAGCGGCGTTCAGATTGTCAAACAGCTGCTGTCTTGATGGATGTCAGTCAAGTGAGAGAAGTAGAGCTTCAGCTGATGGCTGAACGAGGTGAGTTGTAGCGGGGGGGGGCATTGTGTATGTAGTCAGGCTTCTAAGTGGTCATATCTAACACTCAATTTAGCGCACCTCGCGCTGACATCATAGAGGGGTAGGAGAGCTGATGTGGTCGGTTAACTATTCGGCTCAGTTCTGTAAGCTGATTTATTGGTCGTGGTGGCAACAGGCAGAATAGGGAGTGGACTTTCCTTGTTGGTGATTGCCTAGTGGCCGACACTGCCTCTTTTTGCATGTGTGAGTACTACGTGCTGCGCATCACCAGTTGTAGTATCCCGGATGATAGAGCAGTATAATTGAAACTTGGTTACTGCTCCTGGATAGTCAGATCAGATCAGATCAGATTTATTAAGGGAAAAGTAGGCGAACGCCTTTGAACTCCCTTTTGGTTACAATAACGTCATAAAAAACAATGTGTAAGGCAAGTGTGAAAAAAATTAGGTAAGTAATTACATACAACAAGCATTGGTCACTGGTATGAATTTGTCTGTGAATGCCTTCTGTGTCAAGATTGTACAATATCCAGTACGGCAATGAATGGACCAAGTAATATTAAAGCAAGCGCATATGTGGCGGTCAGGAGATAGCGAAAATTGTGAAACGTAATGTTACTAAAATATAGGGAGTAGCATGCTTTGTAACATAAAACGTTGGATGGGACGGGTGGCACAGGGGGGGTTCGTTAGTTTCTGATGCTGTGGAGGTACATATCCCTGTACTGGTCAAGCTTTCTCTTAAATGAGTCCACGGATGAGGACATGACGACATCCACAGGTAGGGCGTTCCACGCCTTTACCACTCTGTGGCTGAAGAAGGACCTTCTTGCGTCCAGTCTCGCTCCTGTCACATGTAGTTTCAGAGGGTGTCCTCTCAAGCTAGTAGTGGTGGCCAGCTCAAAGAAGTCGCCGGATGCGAGGCAGCAGTCCTGACCCCGTAACATTCTAAACGTTTGAATTAAGTCGCCACGTAGTTGTCTGTAGTCCAGGGGAAAGAGGTTTAGATTTGAAAGTCTGGTTTCGTAAGGTAGGTTTTTATGACCTCTGACAAGCTTGGTTGCCCGTCGTTGGACTTTTTCGAGGGTGGCACGATCCTTAACAGTCCAGGGTCTCCAGGCCTGAATGGCAAATTCTAACTGTGGGCGCACAAACATCCCGAAGACCTTGCGGAAGCACTCTTCATCGAACTTGGCAAATGCCCGCTTGATGAGATATAAGCTGGACATTGCGGATTTTGCTGCTTTCAAGCAGTGGAATGATGGCTTTAGTGAAGATGTTATCCACACCCCTAGGTCTTTCTGAACGTCTACCAGTGGCAGCGGTGTGTGATTTAGATAGTACGTCTGCCGGTGCGCAGAACTGGTTCTGCCAATCCTCAGAATGTTGCATTTGGTAACATTAAATGGGAGGAGCCAGTGGCCTGACCATTTTTCGAGTCGGTCTAAGTTTGCCTGTAAATTTGCTTCATCGTCCTCGTTGCGGATGACGGTCCAAAGCTTTATATCGTCAGCAAACATGGCAATCTTGCAGTCCAATCCATGGATACAGTCATCAATATAGATGAGGAAAAGGATAGGGCCAAGAACGGAGCCCTGAGGTACTCCGCTCGTAACCGTCACCTCTGCCGAGTGCTGGCCACCAAGACGAACAGTCTGGGACCGGCCGACCAAAAAGTTTGCAATCCACTTCAAAAGCTTGCCTCTTACCCCTATGCGGCTGAGCTTGTGTAGGAGACGTTGGTGTGGCACGCTGTCAAATGCCTTCTTGAAGTCTATGTAGGCCACATGCACAACGTTTCCTTCATCAATCGCTCGGGTCCACTGTTCAAGACAGTAGAGTAGATTGGTTAAGCAGGACCTCCCTCTGCGGAAACCGTGCTGTGCATCGCACAGAAGATGATTTTGCTCTAAAAACCGCATCAGTTCGCGTTTGATTATTCGCTCCATAACTTTGCAGCATATGGAGGTGAGGCTTACTGGTCGGTAGTTGTTTGCGGAAGCGCGACTGCCATTTTTATGAATCGGTGAAATCCACGCAGTCTTCCAATCAGGAGGCAGTCTGCCTGCATCAAGAGAGGCTTGGAAGAGGACGCTCAGAGGTTCTGCCAATTCTTTGGCTACTTCCTTCAACAACTTTGCCGGTATTTCGTCAGGACCGGGCGAAGTCCCTTCTTTTAGCTTCAGTAATTCCTGTTGAACAATAGGTTTTGTGAGAACCACTGAGTCAATTGTCGGGACATTGTCCACATTACAGTGATCAGTGGGTACAGCGACTTCTCTCGTAAAGACCGACTGAAAGAACCTGGACAGATGTTCAGCCTTTTCGTCGTCCTTTTAAAGTTCAACGCCATCATCAGTTTTTAGCATAGGGATGGGATCCCTGTTGCGAGTAATTTGTCTTATGTAGTTGAAGAAAAGCTTTGGGTTTTCTCCTGCACAGTTTAAAAGGTTGAGTACTTTGTCTTATGTAGTTGAAGAAAAGCTTTGGGTTTTCTCCTGCACAGTTTAAAAGGTTACCCTCGAAGTCTTGGCGGGCTTTGTAAACAAGGCACTTTACCCTATTCCGTTGAGCCTTATACCTATTTCTTGATTCAGTTGTCTTGTCCCTAAGATCTGCTTTCCACAGCTTTTGCTTACGGTTTACTTCAACTTTTAGTGAACCCTTAAGCCATCGCGGCCTGCTGGTGATTTTCTTTTTCGACATAGGGCAGTATCTGGTGATAAGTTCATTAAGTATGACCTTAAGTTCTAGCCAGTCCTTGAGGACACACCCCGTAAACGCTGCGTTCCAGTCTTTACGACGCATGTCGAGACGCATTTGGTTGAAGTCACCACGCCATATGTTGCGTCTAATCACGATGCTTTGATCGGGTACAGAGAAGAGAGAATACTCCCACTGTAGGACTACATGGTCGCTTTTTCCGAGAGGGGGTAGACAGTTTACAACATCAACGCTTTCCGGTGTCTTTGTCAATACAAGGTCTAGGCAGTTAGCTAGTTGTCCTTCACGTAGTCTGGTTGGGGATAAGACGTGTTGTGTGAGATTCGATCTTTGCACAGAATTTAGGAGGCGGCGATCAAAGTTAAATTCTGAGCCCGGGGCAGAAGTCAGATTCCAGTCGATATTCGGAGCGTTAAAGTCGCCCATAATCATGACATTGGGTCGGAGGGAAATCGCTTCTAATTCCTCTAGTAGACTACTGTCTGATTGGGGTTAAGCGTCGATGGATGGGTTGGTGTTGGTGACGGTCAAAGGACACATGTAGAAGTCGAAATACTTTGGACATGAAACAAACCCGGAGAGTGGCAGTGGGGGCTGTTCGTCCAGGGTCCTGTCCTCGTTCTCGTCCACCGTGACAGATGCCGCGTTTTGAGCGCTGTGTTCTGAGGGCTTCTCTTCCACTCGCTGAAGGAGAGACTGCACCGATATGGCTCGGGAGTGTTGAGATAGTTGTCGCCGAGGCAGGCTAGTTAGGGTAGATGGACTGCTAAGCGGCTAAAAAGAGTAACACCAACATAGAGAAAATGTTGAGTTTCATTAAAAGTTGGCCTGACTCTCTTAATACTCTGTCAGATAAACACACTGCTTGGGTGAATTTATAATACCGATTAACATGTACAATAGAAATCCATTCATACACGGTGACAGGTTGGCATTTGGTGAGGCATCCTCCTAATCACATGTTAATCACAGCCAGGAACACAGATATTTAAAATCAATGGAAAAGCACATTAGGCATCGTTTCTCGAATCTAAGTCAAACACAACGCAGCGTACGAATCCACTTGCAACGATGTCCAATGCCAATCATTCTAACAAGCTCACTTGAGCGATCTTCTTTCAGTCTAAGAAATAGCAAAAAATCCGCGTTAGTGTTTTGTGATTTTCGGTGTTTACTGTATGAACAAACAATACGTCTGGATTTTTTGTTTTATGGAGAATTTTTCTGCATCCACAGAGGGAGGCAGATTAATTCGTTCTGCAGATTCAGTCTAGGAAAAGGTTATACAAATGTCTATTTCCTTCTTGGCCAGACCTCCCCAAACCCCAGTTAGTAAGTCACTGTTATAACAACATACATGCTACTATCTTGATTTCAATAACCCACTTTGTTAACATTAACTCAAACATTGTCGGACAAGTGCAATCAATGTGTTGTTCGCTGTTGTTTGGCAAATTCACCAGCTTTTTTGCACCCTTATTTCACTACGAGTTTTATGCATTTGTCATGCTAAAAGTACCTGTAATCCTTTGCCATTTAGCTATGCTTCATGAAGAATTGTATTTTTTAGTGGAGTTTTAAGGGTTTCTGTCATTTACTCCAAATGCATTGATTTGAACTGAATTCGCCTTTCATAAGTCCTAAAAATTATTGAACGCGATCCGCTGTTGCAGTTGCGTTTGACGTTTAGAGTGAACACGCTGTATACTTTCTATAAAAGGAAAATCACACATACGCCTATGCCACTAAGAAGGTACTCTATGAGATTCGTCAAATTTTGAAATAAATGTGGACTGCGTTGTATATTTTATATGGAGTATTAATAAACGGGCAGACAAGATTCTATTTTAAAAAAATTTCACGACCCTAAAAAATTTCATAATCCGAAACTTTTAAACGTTAATATGCCTTTCTCTAAGTATAAAATTTCAAGAAAAGGCAATCTGCTAAAAAAACGAGCACATCAAGAAATATTTTTAAACATATTTTCTATAGAATATATTTAAGTGTACAAGGGCATGCAAGATCGACGGAAAATTCATGCTAATTGGGTAGCCATTTTTGTCGAGTGAGGTTTCGAAAAGCGGTCGAAAAGGAGCGCGCACAAGAGACGGCATCCTAACGGGGTTGAAGAATTGTGGGATTAAGCTGCACGATAACCATTATTGCAATCCCACTTGTGTAATCCTCCTCCGTCGAAAGCACATTTCCGAATTTCCATGAAAATTTCATATGATTGGTCATTGCCCCCAGAGGTGCAAACAACGGGCATACGAAGGCACACGAAAAAAATCCTCGGAACAGAAGTCAAATTAACAGCATCTTTAAGGAATGGGTGGGCTATAAAAATTTGCCGGAGTACGACCAAGTGATAGCGAAAAACAGCAAATTATGCCTCTGGCGTTGTAGCAGATTGCCGAGATCTGTGCAAGGCTCGGATAATGGCAGCAAAGTATAAGACAGCATTTATCCCAGAGCGCAAAAGGTCGGCTTTGCTCTGTGGGTCGGTAGCAAGGAGTAGGGTATGTTATTATTAAGCTTACCCGAGCGCTGGCAGAACGATCACAGACTGAAACCTGAGGAGGCGCGGTGGAGGTTGAGGAAATAGCCTTTGTGCTATTCTCACCGATGTCTTCTGTCGCGGGTTCTCTGTGACTTGATTCGAGGACGGTAGGAGATTTGTCAATGGACGGGTCCGGAGAATGCTCTCTACAGGGCTCTGTAGCAGCCTGTGGAGGGGGTGTTAGCAAGTCGCCTTGGGCTACGCGTTCGAGGAGAGCAGCCTCCACAAGGTCCCGCAGATTCGGCGCCCGAGTGGTCGACACTTAGTACATGGATTAAATATGGTTAACTAATGTAACAAGTAACTCCGCTGATGATTAAACGGAAGCCAAAGTCCTCATTTTACTATAAGTGCACGGATGATCGAAGAAAGTATGAATGAACCGGGGCCAGCCACTGTCCCCGTCTACCCAGCGTTTCTTGCCCTCCTGTTTTTTTTCGCTTTGCAAGCTGGCAACCATTCATCTGTTGGGACCCTCTACCATCATATATCAAAGGCGGTTTGCTCTAGGCGGTCAAAGAGACAGGTGTCTAAGTTCTTCGATGATACGCATGTAAACATTAGAGAAGTCAAATTTCGCGAGCGTACGTTTTCGATTATTCCTCGTCAGACCTTACAGTAATAAAAGTAGGCCACGACAGAGTAGCACAATTAAAAACATCCAATGAACAGTGGTAATGAGTGAGGGGAAGAGAGTTGAGGACTTCAGACATGTCAGAACGAGGAGTACTTACAATTTAGTTCTGTTGGGGCGTGGGGAAGGGGGACCTGCCAGTGAGTTATACTCATTTACTAGGTGGTCTGGGCGATTTGAATAATTCTTTTGATCTAATTGTGAAAAAATCGGCGGCCTCGATGGGATTCGAACCAACGACAGCAAAGGCAGGACATGAAAACAGCCGATGTTCTAACCAGCTGAGCTACGAGGTGGATATGGATATAGATGGATATAGCTAGATTTTATCTGTAAAGTGGCTGCCCAATTTCAGTTTACAAGTGTTTATCTGGGTAGGACCGGTTGGAGAGGTATCGGTATATGCTAAACCCCAGATGCTTCGGCACCTGCTATCTAAACCTGTAGACAATATTACCCAGTGGTGTTGTTGCTTGTGCCTGTGGTTGAGAGAACGCAAGGGCCAATTGGCGTAACAGTCGGGAAACCACTTCTTCTTCCGTCCGCCTTTGGAGCATCGAATCCGTGGGATGAACCTCCGTGACCGAAGGTTGCGAGGCCTTAGGGGGATCGATTCCGGATAGATGGTTAAATATCAGGCCGGTTCCGATCTGATCCAGGTGGCTATCATCCTGCGCCTGAAGGTAAACATGACAATATTCGATACTTTAGGGGCAAATACGATTATGAAATTATCAAAATGGTGGTGACAGACCGGTTTGGCTGGTGGTTTGGACTGTTCAATGGGACACATCGAATACTGACGCATTCCCAAAGGCTGAATTGCTCGTCTTCTTGGCGGAGGTCGGGGGCGGACCGGGTGTTCCAGGTTGTTCCCTGGTAGTTCCAGATTAGGCATTATTCCATCATCAAATCTTACTGCCTTTCGCGTAGTCGAAACAGCATCTAAAGTAAGCAATATCAGGAAAACGTCAGGAAGATTAATCAAGAAGGTATCATTCCTATTATTGGTTCGAAGTGCCAGTCAAGCAAACCCTAAAAGCTTATACAGAAGGAAAAAGCTTAAGGAGGACGAAATTTAGCTGCTAGTCCAACGACACGCTGGCAAATTAGTCTGCTAAGTATGCATGGCGAAGAGCCATTCGGATATCTGAGACCGACACAAATTGCGCGCACAGAAACCCGAATAGCTAACAGTTGCAGACTACGCGATATCGAGACTGGTAGTCTACCACAGATAAGACAACTCGTCTAACCATAAAATGGCCGAAAGGCAAATTCATCTTTTGACATGGAAGGCGTTTCCCACTGCTAAAATAACCCCATTGCCATTCCCACCTCGCGTCCCAAGATGTCCTCAAAGGAGCAGTGGACCGCGAATCAAAGACGTGGCACACGTTTTCGACGCAAGTTTTCGGAGTATGACGAGAGTCCGTCAGTCGCAAGCAACCAGAACTACCGTTGCCCCTTAGCGTGCCCAGTGATAACTTGTGCGTGAATTTGTTCAAAGTGATGCAGACTTCTAAAACACCTACCTCACTCCACTCTTAGCACACTCATCCTGCTCCGATCAACCCGTCCACGCGACTCACGCACGACCTCGTCACCAAATCCACACGTATCAGCCTCCCGGTGCCAAATAATGAGAAGCACCATAAAGGCTCCAATATGAGGAGCCACTGCTGACTGAGTCTCGTTGCATCAGACAATCAAGGTAACCTCCCAAGCTACAACTGCTGGTGTGTCATGATACTTGAAAGGTACGTCCGGTCGTTTAGAGTGAGGAAACTAGGCTTTGGACGCGAGGTGGATTGACTAAACTCTCTTTCACTTCTTCAATTCACCAGCGACCTGACTGAGTCAAGGCGATTGAATATGTCATTGAGCTCAGCTGTTGACATAATTTAAATTCGCCTTCTAACGAGTACCACGCAGAGGCTGAGATCTTGAGAAAGTGAGGGGTGCCATAGGGACTACATTGAGAAGACATCGCCTTCTGGACCTTATTCTAAAGGGGGTTCCAATTGTGCCGTGAGCTGGCAGTCTGTCAAGCCAAGACTTCTAGTGGGTTATAATAGTTTGAAGCTCATCAGATCTATTATAGTAAGGAATGGGCTGAATTGTCATGAGAAATGATAGCACACAGTCGGCCCACGCCTGCTTCCCTCTACCATGAGGGGCCTGGCCTAGCTTCTGGGCGAGCTCCAGGATGTAGTCGCGGTGAAGGAGACACGATCACTGGAGCAAGTGCTTTATTAGCGACATTTCGGATTCTCACTCAAATCCATCATTAGGGACAGAGTCAGATAAGGGTAGTGGACTGCCCAGGTGTTGAAATATTTATAGGATGCAACGTGGATGCTCGCTGAAGTTTCCTAACTTCGTCGAGGCCTGTTTTTAACTAAAATGCTTGGAAATTTGGCTATGTGGTGAAGAGAATAAGCATCCGCGTTCAATGCTGACACTCGATAAAGTTGCGGCTGGCCGGCACTTTCCGCTAATCTCACTTCAGGATTTGATGTTTCACATCTTAGTTTGCATTTTTCGAATATCTTCTGAAAAACGAAAGTTAGTCTACATTGAAGGGCCGGTAAATTCGCTCGCCAGTGGCATGTGACAACGCCGTATGATCACAAAGCGGGGTATAGGGGCTACAGTTTATTCTCATGTTCCGGGTTACAGTTGCCCCTACTGTTGACCCAGCGGGGACGAATGAACTATTTGAGGCGGCTTACAGAGAAGTCGTCTCGATAAAACAAGCATCGGTAATGCGCAGTTGCGTTGTTATTCTTTCTTGCGAGACAAGAAATCGTTGTCGTTCAAGGACTGCCCCACACGGTTCGCTTCTACTTATACCTCCACTGTTTGCATACTTCTTTTTTAACTTTGTGTAATTCCGATTTCACCTATCAAGTTTTTTGTAGATTAAAAGATTCCCGTGGTTTCGTTACCGGTTACTTACAAACTGACCTAAGCTTAGTCACCTTTTTTGCCTTTTCTCTGTTTCTCATTGGAAGGAATCGTCCTGAAACATATTGCTGACCGGCACAAAGTGCTCAAGCGAGTCGTTTGTGTTTGTTTTTCGTGGTAGAAAATGTTTCCGGTGCCAGGTACTGGAACTTCGCTCCAACTACGTGGCATATTCTAAAGCAAGCACACTTTTAACAACGACTAGTTTCGAGAGAGGTGATGCGCCCAGTGACCAGATAGTTCTCTCTCTCTCTCTGAGGTCAACGCAGATAAAGACACGACAACCTCTTCGGCCGTACCCTGAATTGGTCTGGGCCTCCTCTGATGTTGAGGCACGCGAAGGGCCCCGCCGGAGAGTGGTGCGCTGGTCACTTCAAATCGTCCGGCCGGCATCGCGGGGGTCGCCTTCGGTTCGGGCGACTTGGAATGGGTACTGGGTGCGAACTGGAGAAGTGGCTTCTGCGGAGGGGAGGCGGAAATGATCGAGGCCAGGGTAGGCGGCTTCGGTGGGCGAACTGGTGAGATGGAGACGTGTTTGACTACATTCCCGCCGCGACCCCTGACGCCAACGCCGGCACCACGACCGCGAAGACGTCTTTGCGCGTCATCGACCGGACGCCGGACCGTAGAGGTGGCCGTCATGGTACGAGAAGTCTATAATTGACCCGCAAATAATTGACAAAGGGACTCATTTGAACTTCGGATCTAAAGGGAGCCAAAAGACCTTACGCGTCCAAACTGAATGTTTTAACATTTAAAAGTGAACTTCTCACTTAGTTTTAGCCAACAAACGTCTGCGAAATGGCTGAAGTAAACAGATGGCTTCATAAATAGCACGGATGATAAAAAGGAAACGAAAGGTGTGGATGGACGTTAAAAAGCAAAAAAAGTGTTAGCCTAAGTTTTCTTTCACAGTTTAATTTCAAATCGGTCCGCCACTGTTAGCGATTCTGTCAGTCTAATCCCCCCAGAAGCTCTGCACACTCAGCCTTGGAGTTTTAAATCAACCTTTTACTGTCTAAAACCTCGGACCAAATAGCGTGACCAGCCTCGTCACTGGGAAACCATTCAGAGGGTTCTCCAGACTCCCGTATGATTCAGGTTAGATTTAAAACTTAGATCTCTTCTTACTTACAATGAGGAAATTTCAAATGAGTAGAATTAGACGTTTACAACAAACCGAAAAGCAAGCTCTCCAGATATCAATATTTGCTAGAGCGTGTAGAGGACTTTTTACGGGCATAGTACTGTGGGATGGATAGTCATGTATGGCACTTCAAGCTACGGATACAACATTGGTGTTGAAACTTGTGGCTGGTTTCAGCGTTCGTCGGAAGACAGAAAGGTGGAAAATTAATCTGAAATACGAGCTTTAACTGGCCAGCTCCCCACGGTCAGATAGGGGATGATATCCTTGCCCAAGCAGATTTTGATAGCAGTGTTTTTGACAGACTTTAAGGCTTCTATGGACTCTAGTTTTTCAGGACCCTGTGGGTAGATTTCTTCTCCCTGTTTGTAAGTGGTAGGTTATGTGCGTAGAAGTTGCGTAAAAGCTACTTTTCAAAAAGCGGTGCTTGAGAACCACCCTTCTAGCGAAGCTTAGATTTCCTACCGGATGAGGCAGTCCGAAATCCTTGTGGGAGAATTGGGTACGACACGGTTTAAAGTATTCCCCCTATTGCAGGTGACCTTAAGCTAAATTCCAGGGGGTCAGGGTTAAAAAGGGGCACAGAAATAGGTGCCCCCCCTGGGATTTAGTGTAGGGCTACCTGAAGTACAGGGGGTCCCTTCTCTAGTATCCAACCGAAAATTTAAAGTATGCCTCACGTTACCAAAACAAACTGACTGATTTGCTTGAGAACGCTCTTTGTCGCCTCTTCCTGCCCGCTCAACGCCCTTGCCAAAAGAAGAGAGGCCTTCAATCTTCACCGCCAAAGGACAGCGAATAAAGCCCGCTGATTGAGGGCAACCGAAATATTTCTTAGCCCTCATCTACGCCACCAAAGAGAGACATCTCGGTGTAGGTAAGGAATGTGTCATTTTCATCAAGAAACTATGCTGACATGGTAAGCGAAAGTCTGGGCAACCGAAGCAAGATGGAATTACCTGTGGGTCGTCGCGAACGCCCGAGATGGCATCATCTACCATTGCCTTAATCCTTGCCCGTTCAACGGCATCCCTTAAAGAAGAAAAAAGGCAATAAAATTATACGTCCTAAATTGAGGCATCCCAGATAAAATGGAACATCAGAGAGAGGAAGGACTACTTGAATCAATCATCATCTCAGATTCATCTATAAATTACTTTGCCCGATTACTCCAGATTGATCACTGAAGCGTAAATTGAAGAAAGGTCATCCTTGGATGGACGATTGTGAATGCATTCGATGCGTGGAACTTATGTCCAATAGCATCAGAGAAGATAAGAGACAAAAAATTGAAAGCCCGGCACAGATCTTTTTGCTAAGACATGCCTGGCCATTCATTGTTTTTGAGTTGATACCGGACGAATTCAGAAGTGGGGAGCAGGTCGAGTAAATAGTCAGGTGGATTTGAGTCCAATCTTTAAACCCCAATTATCTGGGAAGCCGTCCTCCAGGCTATTCTCTTAACTGCTTTCTCACTATCATTGTCCATCTTTTTGGCTGCTGTAATTTCAAGACCAACTACTTCGGCCCGACTTGGAAGCGGGTGTCAACTGGAGAAACGGTTTCGATAAGATGCAGTAGCAGTGAAGATGGGAGGTTAGTTTAGGCGTTTCTATGCAAAGTCCCGGAAAAGACCATATATTTACCTTCGGTTGTGGACGAGTAAATGGGCGAGTTAAAAGTAAAATGGCCTGAGGCTACTGGGGTTTGAATATCAGGCATCAACTCAAGTAACCGCCTAGTCGACCAACACTCAGTCTGTGAAGCCGTCCAGCAGCAAGCGCTGGGAAAAGTAAGGCCCATATAAGATTTTTATCCTCTATGGCTATTACCTCCAGTGACGCGTTTGACAGGCACAAAGTGTCAGGATTCCATCAGATTTCCCAGGTAGTGACTGCTTTTCTGGCAATTCCCGCAGTCACTAGGCCAATAATCAGCAATCGCAATCTACAGAAGCTATCTACGCGACTTAAGTAGCAATGCAGCCCTCCATTTTTAGCTGGCTGGTGCGACAGGTCAATCTTACCAGCGGCATTTTATACACTACACGCATACCACAGTTTCAAACAGATTAAAGATTACGGCTGCCTCCACAAACTGTATTCAAGAAGTTCCAAAGCTCAATTAAGTCGGCTTGTGAGCAGCCTCCATGAGGCCATAAACGACCGACAAAACTCGCGACTCGACCACCATGGCAAAGTCCATCGTAAGCCGCAAATAGAGACCTCGAGTTTGTCGCCCGTAGCAGAGCTTTGGTGCATGAAGTTGAAACAAGGTTGTACAGTCTTCTGTTGCCATAAGGCAGACCCATTTGTTCTCGTTCCGTCAACATCAATTGCTGAGCTCTCCAAGAAATCCCCAACAACCACTCTATTTCCCTTTCCTCCGCAAAATAACCACTCAGTTAGATCCCACTAATTTCTCAGAAACACAAATATCGGAAAACGACATGAGGTATATTGCCCAAGCGACCAATGAACGGGACTGAAGAAGGAACATAGAACAGGGGATAGGACCTTACGTCCAACAACTAATAAAGGCAGCAGTACAGGTTGCCTTACTCATCCTTTCCAAGCATGTCCAGAATGTCGAAGAAACCCTGACACTTTCGAGATCTCTCAAAGGCACTGATGTTAGTCTCCAAGTTGTTTCTTCTCTGTTCCACTTCCCTGAGTGCTTTGTGGGCTGCAATAAGCGTGCTATTGAGGGGTGGTGGTGCATTTGCATAGCGAAAAGGTGGCGGTTGCAAGCCAGTTACCGCATCTTCCGTCGGACGGTGCGAGCCGTTGGATATATTCAGTTGTTGATATGTCGATTGAGCCTCCGGTTGGAAGTTCTCCTTCTCTTCCTCAAAGAAAAAAATCTTTCATGTGCATACAATCTTGCAGTTTAGGGCAAGTCCCCTTTCACTGGCACAAACCCATATCCCTTTGTAAGGAAATTAAAACGATCAATCTTGCAGTGTAGGGCAAGTCCCCTTTCACAGGCACAAACCCATATCCCTTTGTAAGGAAATTAAAACGATCAATCTTGCAGTGTAGGGCAAGTCCCCTTTCACAGGCACAAACCCATATCCCTTTGTAAGGAAATTAAAACGATCAAGCCGGAATCATCAATGAGTTCTTGCAAATTGAGACAGAGCACAGGAATGCGGACCCTCTCGTACTACAGACGACCTTGTGCTAAATCCCAGGGGGATAAGGACAGGGTTAGGATGGTAAGGATTAGGGTTGAGTATTAGTGTTAGGGTTACGGTGGGCAACTTCGACGTTCAGCGTATACCTGGAAACGATTACTTGGTCATGGTAATCAGGACCAAAGTATGCTGACGAAAATCGGCCATAATAGTAGGAAGAAGGACTCGAATATTCTTTATGAACCAATTCACCATACGCCTTGCCCGACGTCACCGAACCACTTAGGCCATGACGCCAACGGTGCAATGACGACTAGAGCTGATACCTTAGAAAGTGGAACAAAATTGTCGACTAGCTCATTCATTAATTCGTTTAATGACAAAATAAAATGTAATGTACTTGAAACGTACGTTTACAGAACTTCTTCTTTGAAGACATGTGTAACGCAGTTTTTACAGTACATATTTTATGTAAAGCGTCTTTTTTCTCAACCTCAAGGTTGTTGTAATAACTCCAAGCACGCCAGACATTTTATACTGAAACTGGCGCTGAACTGTCATGAGAAAGGCTACCTGTCTCGCTTTCTCTTCCCCCTCATGTGCAACAATGGCCAGGCCGAACCTGACGACCGGCCGGTGGTGGAAAAAAAGTGGCGGCATACGTGATCCGAGCAAGGAGGAGGTGCGGTGACAATTAGGTGCCAGCATCAAACCTAATCCCAGCATCAGATAGCTGGCCGACTCGGACAGTGGGCAGATACCTGGGCGAGGGAAGAGAGGCCGAGGTTGACTCTGGGGCCCCGTCCCCACGACACTTCAGCGCAACGTCTCACGATTAGCACTCGGACGCGCTTTCGAATCATTACAATTAGCTGAAAGTCGTGGCTTGGAAAACGGTGAACTGATGGGATAACCCTGTCCCCCTCTTAGGACGCTGAATCAGGCTGCAATGTTTCCTTTTGAATGTGGCCTAAATAGCATTCGTACTCAGATGATACCTAAACCGGCACACTCGTGCTTCCGTGAAAACTTGGTCGATCATGCGCCCGACGGGCGTGTGTGGCACGCGTAGACGGCCTGTTTAGCTCCGTCAGCCCCTGCGCTCGACCCGGTATCCGGGCCTCCTGCCCAGTATTTGCATAGGAGTCGGGAGGGTGAGGAAAGAAAAACTGCGGCAGATGCTGCGTAAATCGCCGTCCCGGGCCCACTATGCCGTGGGGCACATGGTGGTCATCGTCGTTCGCGACGATCAGACGAATATACACGTAGATGTACAGACTTATGCAATCGACAGCTCGAGCTAGCTAGGAAAAACTTTCAAAATGCGGAATAGGGATCACTGACCGCATGACTTTGTGTTGCGGGCCGAGCTGAGCTCTTCTCTACACATTACCGGTCTGCCATATCGTGTCGAGTCCCGATCACGCGGATTTGAAACACCTCTCACGTTGCCCAAAATTATTCTGGTCTTTGACGCCGTTCACCTCATACGGTCCGCGAGGTACCGCAGAAGTTCAATCTCTTCTTCAAGCCACTGTACGGGACGTAGAATTCACAAGCCTGTTTATTGTTGCGAGCAATAATTCCCATTTGAAGTTTTAAAGGGCAACTGCCAGACAGATCTGCATCCTGCGGGTGCAGCCGCAGCTGGAACAATACCTTACATTGCTGCAGGTCGGGCCCTTCAACTATGTCTGTAATGTTTCCAAAATAAAATTTTACTCAACTCACTAAATGTCTAACCGTATTTTAAAGTTCCCTTGTGAGCACCTAGAAGGCTCAAACGTCCAGAGCGCAACTGTCTATTCATATGCAGATGCGACAACAACTTTCTCTGTCACTCGTCGAACTACCTTCCTCCCATCTATCGCGATTCAGTTTTTCCCTGGCGTAACTAAAGAACTCGCAAGACATTTGGTGTGCTTTTGCTTCAAGGTGCACTTTTGGACGTTTAAAACCAACCTTGCCTGAATTATTGCGCCGGAGATGCCTGGGCCTACGTCCTTCGGCATAATCTCTGAAGCACTTCAACAACTCACTCAAAGAAAAGGCCTCTTTAAGTTCCGAGGCTACTAACCGCTATTGTCATTACTGTTAATAAATTCAAGTAAATGGCACTGAAGTCTTTTATTTGCAAGCATAATAGTTAAAACATAGCTGCGGTCGTTACGCACGGAAGAAGCAAGCGATGATGAGGGCAACAACAGGAGACTGCTGATAACAGCTCGACTGTTGCGAACGACGGTGTCTACCGTGTGCCCCACAGAATGGTGGGCGCAGAAAGGTGGTTTGCGCGTGAATTTGTTTATGATGATGAGGGCAGACCTTCACAACAGGGGCCGCACTCTCACCTCCTCCACCTACCTGGCTCTGCTAAAAAGACAGGGTCAGGACGACCGGGGAGCGGGCTCGGGCGCAGTAGCTCGCAAGGCTTCCCGGTCTGTCTACGCGTACCACACACGCGCGCGGCCTGGTTCGACAGACGTGAACCAGGTTTTCACGGAACAAAAGAGGGCGACTCGGAGCTCACGCGAGTGACAGTGCCACAGAGGTCACAGTAAGAAATGAAGTGGAGTGAAATCCCAGGGTCACTGCCCCTCTCTAGGAAGAAACAAGTATGCAAAAATAAATGTAGCACTTACTTTTGTGGATTTGAGCTCCAGTGTGGTCCGGCGGTTTTGCTCAATTTCTTCTCGGTTTTCTTGTAAAAAGTTCCGAACGTCCTGAGGGGAAGAAAGTGAAAATATTATAATCTAGTTTTCCAGGACAGTGGGCTAAGAATGTGGTTTGACAGATAAAGTTTAGAAAAGTGGTTAGGTGGAAGGATAAACGGGATTAATGTCAACTTAAATCCAGCTGGAATATGTAGTACAGACAGGTACCATGTGCGGAGTCATGGCCTTTGCTGCAGTCACTAAGAGGAAGGTCTTAAAACAGGACGTTGGACCTCGGTGAATCTTTTATGCCACCACTGTTCGTGAATCATCATAAAGTTCATCTTATGTCTTAAGCTGAGAGTGAAGATCAGTAGTCTCAATACTGTCTAAAACTTCTGCTAAGGGCACTCTAAGTCACCAGATTCGAAACATTTTAAAGCCTGGACACGCTGAAGGAAAAAGTGCACAGGTAGGTCGAAGCTGCAAAAACTTAAAAACTTTGGAGACGTCAGATAGATTGTCCATAAGAAGAGCAGTGATAGGAGTGAAAAAGCTAACGGTAGAGTTTAAAAGCTCAAGTTTGTAGCTTTCACAGTCAACCACTTAGCACATTTGACAGGAGTGAAACAGACCCTAGCGAAGCGTATGAGGGGTAGGTGTGACGGTGGATTGGGTCACGCATCCTAAAGTTCCTTTTCTTGTGCTCCGTAACTCAATCTACCCCTTCACTGCGCCAAAGACAAAAAAGTGTTCGTTTGGGCAGCACGGGCTGCCACCGGTGACTTCAGATCTAACCTGAAAACCGCCAGTTGTTGGCAACACATCCTCGGCTGTGATGATCGACGGCTTGTCCGACGTAGTAGCCTTCTCCGCAGCCATGTTGAATCAGTGTGATGACAAATGATATTACTTACTAAAAATTAGGTCATTTGGGTATGCCAGCTGTCGGCGAAACGTTAAGTAAGTCTCGTCACCAACTCCCATTTCAATTGGCGCTATAGACTGACTTAGAGGCCCTCAGACACTATTCACGCCACGAATCCTTTACCATAACTTGAGCCTAGTGCCTTGTTTATTTTTGTTTCCTGGTCTCCTTCACTCGCCTCAGCGAACCCTCGTAAATATCTACTCTCTACGAAGCGCCCTCCGATGTGGTTTACATAGCACCGCTTGGCAGCTGGCGTACTGCGATAACTCTTCTGTCGAGGGTAAGCTGCAATATGCAAGTCCGTTTATGATGCAGCGGTAGTTACTGCAGTAACCATCAGCAATGTGCCAGTCGGTTTCTTGAATACTGTTGTCCCCGATTGGCCTTCCGGTTGGAAGCAGAGGCAGTCTTCTAGGATAGAGGTCGGTTTTCCATTTAATCCTCCACCCTGAGTCCTATTTTCGCCCGCTACAACATAAAAGGAATTGCGCACGCACGTCCTGTCAGCTAAGGGAAATTACCTGCAGCAAGTCGGTCGCCAAGCGAGACGAGAACAGTCACCTGCCGGAGGAATTCTGAGTTAACGAATATCCACAAGAACTTTACGGTTTGCTGTTTGTCGTCGGAGAAAATAGGTACGGGCATGACGTCGACTAAGGCGCGCGAATCAACGAAAATAGGCAGTAGCGGTATCCTCAACAGATAAGGTGGGGCGTGCGGCCCATAGACACTTGTAACATTAAATGAACTCTCCACCTTCGGAAGACGGGTAGCCAAAATCGTCTCTTGAAAGACCACGCCGCGGGTATCTCAGAATGGCGCTTTCACTTCCATACGTCGGTTTCTACTAACGTTTTCAAGCCCTCCCTCGATCACCCAAATATTGTCTGCCTATGGACATGCAAGATAATCATTGTACTCATCGCATGCTTGGTTGCTTTTCTGTTCCTGTGCGACACGTTCGAGTGTTGCGTGCAAACATGAAGGCGATTTAGAGGCGAATTAAAGCGCCAGAACTAGAATATTTCATCGTTAAACCATACCCCTTCGCGGGTTCGACCTAATTATTTGAGTCTGGCAGGAATACAATAAAACACTGTGACAGGTCACGCCGCCTACTTTCTCGAGTACTTTCGTTCCATAGGCTGCGAGGACAAAGTGGTCAACTGGATACCGTCTTGCGTTGACGCGAATGAAGCCGGATTTTTAAGTGGGAGCGCTTGTGAATGTGACGGCAGTGATGATGGTGGTAGTTATCATCATGACTGCTGACGCTTTAAAGATATATAGAGGAAAAGTCCTTCTAAAATCACGAATAGGTACCTGAAAGAAGGCGAAACGGAAGAACCCGTGGCGTTATCTCTTCATTCACAGGAAAAACATTCTTGATTTAATGGCTTATTTCGCCGATTTATCGGGAAGTTAGAAAGAAAAGACGTGGTACTGGTACCGTTGCTATCCGGCTTCTGACAATTGCTTTTCTGGTCTTCAGGGCTCGATGGACTCTAGCAGCCATTTGAACACTCCCAAGACCCTGGAAGTGACTTTCCAATTATCTGCTACTCCAGGAACTTTCAGTCAGTAGTGCCTAAACAGTCGTGTCGTTCTGAACAAGTTATAGCTGAGTTCCAACGAAGACAAATTCTTTCTCAATTACTCGGTGTCAAACGTGCAAATTCCATTGAGATCCTTTCAGAGGTAGACGAAGGAGAACGGTTGAGAAAAAATAGACCTACTCCTGACTAGTATGTACTTAATAAGCTGACTTGTGTGCGCAGGCGTGTACGGGTGGAGGACACCGTTCAGTGATTGGCTGTGGCAAGGACTTCAATGGAACTGTATAACTGAGGAGCCTCTTGATAAGCAGGATAGATGCGTGAGCAAAGACATGCGAATAAGAACCTGAAGAGAAATGGAAGTCCGGAAATAGGAACAGATTATGATGAAGAGGAAGCTAAAACATTGCGGAGTAACTTATGGTAACACTTCAGGAAAGAAAACTTTGTTTACACTGCCATCTAATCAGGTGAGGCGTAGTTAGGAATACTAATTTATCTGTGGCACAAATGACAGTACCTAGAATCCGTCAACTGGTAGCTTAGGTTTGTCGGCCTGGAGAATGGATGACCGTAACGACAGCCTTAATTCTAAATAAAACCTTAACAACAGTCATACCCCTCGCCTGTATTTAACGAATCCGGACCCGATAACGCGTTGTGCAACCTACATGCGATCGTCTGGCCCCTCAGAAGTACTTAAGTATATTCATAGATGTTTTGGCAGATTTTAAATAATTCATATTGACCCAACTGTGGAAAACTTAAATATACTTCAAAATATCTCGCTACCTTCCTCAAATAAGTAGTACTAGGTGCATACGATTTTTACGGCAGTCTCGCTACTCCGTCCATGCGCCCATTTTGAACAGAGAGCGCAGTTGCAGTCGGTAACAGTTGTGTCGTGCGTACGGGGTTACTTCGAACTTCTTATAGGTTCACTTCATAAAGCACAGCCCAACTTTGGTGTGATAACTACATTGTGATAGCTTGAAACTTTGTATTGCCTGCCACAGTTCAAACGTTTTACTCTGTACCTCGTTCCCATGTAAATGAACCGGTCTAACGAGTATTTATCGAAAGCATGCGTATGCTCGCAGATGGTCTTTTGGAAAATATTCATTTGAAGGGAACTAAGAAATTGATTAATTTGGTCGAGAACCGAGGTTCTCAGTTTATAGGCAAATAAGTGGCAGAGCACAAAAGCGGTTTCGTCATCACAGTCTTAAGAGCCAGATTCTTTACATAAATGCTCAAGTCCATCATAAAACGTTCAGAACCCTAGGCAAAGAGAGGGATGTCCCAATGGCGTAAACTGGTCAGGTACGGACTTACCTCTAATTCTTTACCAAAGGTCTCGCGGAGAAGGGCAAGTTCCTTCTTTATCTCCTGAAGGTCGCTTCCATCACTAATGCGAGAAATATGCAAAAAAATTTCAAATGCCGGAATAAGAACTTATTATGAGAAAGTGAAGAGATTTTAGTGATGGAAAAATCCGGCCAACGATTGAAACCAGTTTTTACTGTGGGCAATGCATATTAGGCTCCAAGACCGGCGGCACAACTAAATCAAAACTATGTACGGTAGGAAGAGGATGCCACAGTTCTGGGCAGAGGTTGTCCCCGAATCCATTGTCTGTTTGTGTGACTCCGTACTGGCAGTCAAGAACAAGATATGTATAGGGCAGTAAGCCCGACGCTGCATATGCCTGTCCTCTCTCTGGCCTACATGTCGCAAAAAAGTCACCACTGCTCCTTAAAAGATACATAGCAGTGGTCCTCGTCGGTTTCGAGGGACTCATGCACGTATGTCAGTTGGTCGGTTCATTTAAATGGCCAATCGGAAAAGGGGCTCTCACAGGCCACCGATATACGGTAGATTGCGAGGATGTGGGACTGACATGAGGTAACCCCCCTTTTGAGTGATACGAGGTAGCACATTCTCCACTATATTCGAACTCGTCATAGCCGTGACCTAGCAGGCCACTAGCTCGCAGTACAACGCTGACCGTCAAGGGAACAAAGGTTCGAAAGAAACCACCCTTCAATGCAACGTCTATAGCACCTCCCGCTTCCGCGCGATCACAGCCTGTGCGCGTCAGCTGTTGACGCCAGTTCTCTCTCCAGTTGATTTGGCTGGGACAGGTCGCTGACACATGGGAGAAAGAGAAGAGAGTGAGGTCAACCCGCCTCGCGTCTAACACTTTGTTGTCTCGTTGTGAACAACCGAAAGCGTTTTTCAACTATCGCAACCCGCTAGCAGTCATAGCTTAGAAGGTTACCCGATTGACGAGATTAACAGATCATTTTCTGGAACGAGGCTCAGACTGCGGCGGCGTTCTTCTTTGTTGAGCCTCGAGACCGCCTCAGTGAAGTCTGAAACGTGTGGGGTTGGTGTCCAAGTCGTGTGCAACACGCGTAGACGGATTGTTTGGTTGTCTCGTATGCTATACTCAAGCCAATTTTCAGTTTTTGACTGTGTCTCGTCATCAGAGCAGGGTGGGCGTGAGAGGGATGGAGTTAGGCAGATGCTTGGCGAGTCTGCTTCACTGTGAAAAAATTCCAGTGCAAGTCGACTTCATCATAAACAAATTCGAGCGGAATTCAACCCTGCGCCTTCTGGGGGCATTAGTGAACCTCGTCGTTCGCGGTAGTCAGGCTTATAATGCTACGTAGGCTTGCCATCTATGTCATAATTGGGGTCTCTGAGTTTATGAGCCATCGTGCGAAGGTGGTTAAGCAGCAGATTTGTACTCCCCGGGTAGATAATTCAGCAACCAACGGGACAAGTCCGAACCCCCTATGCAGAGATATGCAATAACTAAGTCCGTGGAACACGCGAAGGCAAACTACGACAGTCGGGTGGCGACAATTTCTTGACCTTCATTATTCGCCTACTACTTCACTTTCTAAAGCTAACAGCAAACTGCCGAGAGCTCAACTGCGTTTACGCCTTGACCCAATCTCGCAGGCAACAGCATTTGAAGCATCCTAAGTCACAAACCTCGATGTGTCTGAAACGGCTGCGAACTATCTTCACTGTCTGGTGGAATCGAGGTGCTAAGCTACCCGTCCCCGCATATGAGAAATGCATGATATTCAGGAATTCCCTTGGCGAAGCCTTGGTTACTTATGACGGACACGGCGAATGTGGACCCAGAAGCTGGACACTGACAAAAAAGCCGAACTAATAGGGGGTACTGTGCGGTCTACGAAAACTGAAAATGAAAGTGGATGAATACGAAGCCCGAAGTTAGAGTGAGTCTCGGCCCTCGGTACCGCAATCAGCAGCTACTTAGAAGAATGACCTGCAATGCGTGGAACGTGGTGGTTGCTCGCCTGACGGTCCGCATTCTCATTTGAACCCACCTTCGAAGACAGTCGCAGATAAGGCTGGTGGACGCGCAAGAGGCGCAGTATTTATAGGATTCAGTTGCATGCTGCCACAAGGCTACCATAAATAGTAGTCTTCGCATTTACCGCCGATGGTAGTAGTTAATGTCCACATCCAAGTCGTTCATTGCCGTAGTTTAGTCACTGTGTACCTCAAATAGTTGCATCCTCGATGTTTGCTCAAGGACAATTTAGTAGCCATTCGGACAGGTCTCCAAGATGCATGCGAGCACGTACTGTGATAAAAGTCACGCACATTTGAGTTGCCTAACTTGACAGTATCAGGCTAGATCAGCCGAGAACCTGGTCGCAGCTACTGCATTTGTAACTGTGTGCCATCTTATGCTGGCATTCCGCCAATAGCCCAGGTTATCTGAAAAAAGCTACAAGTGAATATGGACGTCTGATTGTGAATTCTGAATGGGTGGAGGAAATTTTCAATTAATGTTGCACAAAGTTTGGCCTATAAGACTGGAACAGCGGCCTTGTATTCGTATTTTCCGAAGCCCTTGAGGACGCATCGTAAAAATCTCTGAGATGACCCCCCTGAAGGACTTAAAAGTCTTTAGAAATGCACAGATTCTAGTCCAGGCAGATGCTGTGCCGACTAGAGACTTGCTCAGCAGCAGAGTATGGAACGAAGTTGCTTCCAGTTAAAAAAAGTATTTTTTTCACTTGACATCTTTAATTGTTCGACTCGGTCGGAAGAAGTGTTTTTGAAAAGCTCTGTAGATTGACGGCATGCCGTCGGAGCTCTCAGTTAAGAGAACAGCGACTTGGCCGTAGATTCTGGAGTCCGACACGCCTCTGCCCTTTCACTAGTCAGTCTTAACTATGCGATAGATGCACTTCTGTTCACAAACGTCAGCAATAATTAAAGCCCAGTTGAAGCCGGAAAGCTTTGTCTTTGAGCTTGCTTATTCCGACTACATGGACCAGCTTCGAAACACTGTAAAGAAAATACAGTCTCGGTGAACTAATGTACTCATGGGCGGAATTAATGATTTAAATTCCCAGGCACACATTCATGCGGAGAAAAGAAGACTAGATCTCCGGGAGCATGACTGTATTTTTCCTGACGTTTCATATTCGTACTAGAGTTCATCATCCGGGGACGAAAAAGCGCTCAACGATTGCCCAACACATGAGACGTCCCCATCGCCCTCCGGTGTCTGCCTAAATGTCAAGCGGAGACTAGCTTTTACACAGCGTGCTGTCTTGTTCCCGGAAGCTCCTTTGCTCTTGGTGAGGTATTTAGAAGAAGACAAAAATCCGGTGGTTTACTGAAAGCTATCCCGCTCTACAGGTTTAAATAGTTGCCCTCACATTGTGCGCATCTATGACAACGACAGGAATTGACGACTGATGCCTTCAGGTAAGATGGCCGTTTGAGTTGACAAACCGTGCCTCGGACACGGACTTTTGTTATTAGGAGGGTACAATTTCGGTTGAAAATGCAGTGGAAATTGGGTGCTGCAGACGGCTTAGCCACGCACTCAGTCAGTCAAAAAGTGAACCCGTCCGCATAGTCATTCCGTCGAAAGCACCGGTGGTGGAGTTATTTTAGCAGCCCGGCCTCGAGAGGATGTCAGGTCAGCCAGCTAATGGTGCTGAGGATTGGAACTCCGCCCGGACAATTAATTTGGAAAGCCCCTCTTTCGATGGTCTGTTCTGCTTGAAGATGTTGCGGGCAGCGGAATCGATAAACAGATTCTAATGGCAGCTTGTACATGTGACGGTGAGCAAGAACGAGTAGGGTTATATTCATTTTCAAAAACACCGAAGAGCACTTCAAAGCACTCAAAGCACAAAACGATAACTTATATAAAATAGCAATGAAGGAGAGAACGGCTGGCATAACTATTTTCTACAAAGTAGGTGTAGCTCTGGTTTAAAATCTTTGTCAGGATCTTAGATACGGACAAACAATTCGAAAATTCTAACTCTTGGTAACAGTTTCATATGACTACTTAAAACAGATCGTGGTGTAGCTCCCGTTAAATCCTGTCATAAACGAATCCAGAGCACATAAAGCCTAGGACTTTACGCTCCATCACTTACACAAGGTCTTCCTGGTCACATTGTGGGGACGATGTGGCTAAGGACTTCATATCCAGCGGGATTTCCTCTGTTGTTCGATCATGCACGTCGCGTTCTGTTGTCGCTTTTGCGGAAGACCTTTTTTCGTCCGACGATTCCGCGGCCGTCTGCAACCTACCCTGTTTCTCTGATGACCACGCTCTGCTCTTTCTTGAGTCTAAAATTTACGGAAAATAAACAGCATGAGAACTGAGCACAACGGTAGAAAGTATTCAAAAGATTTAAACATTCAGATCCACTGGAATTAAACAGTGCGGCAAGGGAAAAGCACAGCGGAATTATCGCGAATTTGACTCTAGTTCCGCGGTCCTGATTAAACCGTAAAATTATTTTTTTAGATATCTTCATAATGACCTTCCAGATCGACAAGTAGTCAGTCTTTAGGGGTAATGACTATCAGTATTAGGTAGATGCGGGATGAAAATAACTCTTATATCCCGTCACCAAGAGCTAACTGATGCTACTTCACCTTAGCCCCTTAAAACTATATAATAACTAGCCCGTTGGAAATGCCAATGAAAAAATTCCGTTCCGCAGCGTCTGGATGCGCCTAAGATATATCCTCAGTTAACGCCCGCCACAACTTGAACATGATCGGAAATCGAATCGTGCACTAAGTGGTTGGGGCAACTTAAAACGTCAGGTATCCCAGGCGTTCTCTTAATTAGCATCGATTCATACACCTCACTCTTTGCTGCAAATTCCAGGAAGAGAAAGTAGAGTCATGTCGCAAGTGCAAGCACCACTTTGTATAACGACCCATACCAACACCATATTGGAAAAAGAAGGCGAAGCAGGTGTGAGGCCGGCAGTGAGGTATCATTTCTCATAACAGATTTGTGCACTCCTGACTATAACATGTGTGATGTGTCTCGAACTATCGTAGGTCACTAGATGTTGTGGACTGGGAGACTGTCAGGTCACGCCATAGCTCGGACCTCCTTTGGAATAAGGTTTAGAGGACAATGACTCCCCAATGTAGTGTCTATGGCACCCCACACTTTCGTGCGATCCCAGCCAGGTTAGATGACGACAACATCCTGGCAGTTGCTGAACCCAATCCCATCTCCAGCCGCTTAAACAAGCACAGGTCGCTGGCACGTGGGAAGAAATGAAAGAGATTAAAGTCAACGCAGCTCGCGTCCAATGCCTAATTTCCTCCCTTTAAGAAATTAAAAGCCCATTTCAACTATCGCGTCACGCCAATGGCTGTGGCTTATAGGGTTAACAATGGGCAATATAACTCGGTCGTTCGCTGGAACGAGGGTCAGACCACAGTGGCTCCTTTATAACGTAACCTTCGCTGCGCTCTTGTTTATTTGATATCCCAGATCTCCTTGACGAAGACCGATACGCTTGGAGTCGGTGGCCAGGTCGTATGTAGCAGGGGTGGTGTTGTTCGTTTTTGTCACTTGCTAAGCTCTCGACAATCTTTAGCCGTCTTGTCATGGGAACGAGGTGGGTGTGGAAAGAGTGAAGTGAGGCAGAATAGATGTGCTATTCCATGAAATGTTAATCGAAAGTTTGAAATACGTTTTTCATTCGAAAAGATTACTTAAGCATGATCGCAATATTAATTATCGTGCGACATAATTCCACGCTGTGTAAGAAATAAGCACGTACGTAGTATGAACTTTTTCCATTGATTTTCTGTGCCCTTAGAAATTACAATGCACTTATAAAAAATATACACGACAATATCCTTCCTTGTACTAATTTGGTAGCACATCACGGTTTCTTTAATTTTTTCACTTGAATAAAGGATATCTTCGGTTTTGAAAAAGTTTCTAATTATGACATTCTTGAAGATCGCGAAATGTCCATTCATACAGCATTGCATCAGCACGTTTATCAATGCCACTTATACAGTATACAACCTGGTCCACATCCATTGTGCAATTTTATTCGTCCTACATGACGTCTTCCCAGCACTGAAGAGAAATCGGTGATATTCCTATGGCAGAATGTATACAAAATGTAGTCTCAGAATCCTGAATACACGTGTAACGGTAGGTGGGAAAAATTTATTCGGGAGTTAAAAAGTTTTCAAAAACCGGAAGATACTTGAACATGATCGGAAATCGAATCGTGCACTAAGTGGTTGGGGCAATTTAAAACTTCAGGTATCCCGGGCGTTCTCTTAATTACCATCGATTCATACACCTCTCTCTTCTAGCAAAAATTTGAAGAAGACGCAATTTACCATCGAATAAGTACAAATAATATTTTTGTGCACTTTCTTTCTAACATACAATTGAAATTATAAAGGCATTGAAAATCAATGGAAAAGTCCATAGTGCGCAAGTTGTCATTTTTTCAGACCGTAGTTTTCGCAGTCAGCAAAAAGAGGGTCATTCAAGGGTTGGCATTTTGGAGCGAGTAAATTATTTTGTGATTATACTTCGCGATAATTAATCTTACAAGTAAGTAATCTTTTCAAATCTAAAACGTATTTCGGAATTTAGGTCAATATTTCATGAGAAAGCACATTTACCGTGGATACCTCGCGATTCCGTTTCACTGCGAACAGCTTTAGGTGCACGTCATCCCTGTGCACGCTACGGGGGAGCAGTGGTTCTCTTCATTTGCAACAGTCGAACGACCGGAATACAGAGCTAGCCTCCAGCATTAGAAGTGAACGGGAAATTTTCAGGTCTCGAAATGCTGTGGCTCCGATAACATCCCTACTATACTTACTCGGCTGGCATGCCCCGCATAGGAATAAACTTCTTCCAACTCCCTAAGCGGGAAAGAAGTTCACGTTTTGGAGGAAATGAGTAGGACGCGATCAGAAGTATGGTTGTGCAGTACAAGACTCCGTGGGACTCAAGCATGCTATCCGGACTACTGTGCCTAACAGTAGACATTAAAAAACAGGCCCTACAGAGGATTGCCTAACATGGTGGAAGGGCATTCACCGATCGAATTACGGGACATACTTTTCCCGTTGTGCCCTGGATGATAATGCGCTTTGTGCTGGGCAACTTATATGAGTGCAGATACAAAGGTGGGGCAAAATTTCGAAAGACTTTTCCTTGGGTATGATTTTGGCCGTAGACCTACCGGGACTCACGACGGCATTGTTGTTTCTGGAAAGAGGAGCAGGATGCTTGGTTGTCCTCTGCGGCACCGTTGACTTTCTGTTAGCTGACTTTAATTGAGTCCCCGGTGGCCGCGTGGTTTTCAGAACCTTGACGTGTTCGTCAATGTCATGCTCCCTGACGGGAAGACCCGCCTCCCTTACGCTCGTCGACTTACTGGGACATTCGCGGTGCTGAACCCTGTGCATCAGCTCCATCAGGTGGTCCTAAAGGCAAAGGCAGTACTGATAAATTGAAAGCTTGGTGATGCTGAACGGGAAGACTGATCCAAGAATTTGCAACTTGGTCTTCCGATTGGTCGTGATATATCCCTGGAAACCTTTTGGTCGGCATTGTTTATGTGGCCCTGCAAACAAGACTCGCAGATAGGAACGCCCCACCCACGTAATACAGGCGGCCTTGCCCTAAAACTCGGGAAGGGTAAATATTCCCGTGCTCTGACCAGATCATTAACCGTAACCCTAGTCTTAGCCCTAACACATCTTAACCCTAAACCCAACCCTAACTCCAACCCTAATTTACCTGGAAATTAGCCCAAAGTCACCTGTACTACGGGCGACTCCTGTTCCCATGTCCTGCCGGAGGGGGGGGGTGGGGAAGGACATATAAGCAAGCCCTACAAACCTTTTAAAGCCCACAACTGCGCCATTCAGTCGAACTTTTCTTTCCAGGAACAGGCAGTGAAGGCATTTAGGACTGCTTTGACAATGAGAATCAAGGGGGGCATCTACCTGTGCCTAAGCACTAAGAAAAGAATTCCATTCGAAACAGGAATGTTGAAAAATTTGAGTAAGTGGGCATAAGTTAAGATCATCGCATATAATAAGTTAAAATTTAATCAGATTACAAAATGTCCAAGTAATTCTTCGACAGAAAACTGACGCAAAGTAATTGGCTGCTAGACTAAGTTATCAAGACCCACTTACTTCTTGCAATTCCAGAATAAAAAATGTTTAAACAGAAATGTTAAATCTTTTACTGAAATTGTGGTCCGAGCAAACGGATAAAACGGGACAGCCCTGAATGAAGTGAGGCGAAGATACGTGGTGGAACCACAACCGTCGGTAGTTGGTTTGCTGTGCAGATCCTAAATCACTTCAAGGAATGATATAAAGACGGTGCTTTTCTTTTACCGGTTAAAAATAAGTCATTGATTTGTCAAACCTACAGTCCTGGTTGAGTACTGTTTTTGCTCGTTTTCTAAGCTAAACAGCATTATTCATTTGGTGTATCATCAACTGAAATTCTCCTTTAAGAAGCTTTGTCACTTTTCTTGGTTTAATTACTTTTACCTCGCACGGTACCTTTTTATTCAGGTACTCATAATCTGCTTAACCCAAACCAGCAAAAGCGGACAGTCTTTGTGCAGTATCCCAGGGCTAGGGCCTTTTGGTCAAATCACTTCATGTCATCTGGCTTTTTGGTTTCTCCGAGCAGTTGAATGGCTTGATTAATCGTCAATTTTCTGAACGTAGGGAACTTTAAATGAAAAAAACGAAGGCCACTAGTTATTGAATGGAGGAGGCATGCATTTTGACCTTAATAGTTAAAGTTATTGCGAGGGATTCCATTGCTTGTCATATGACTTTGCGGCGGTTCAGAGAACCCATCGCAATTCTCCGCAATTCTCCGCTGGCTCATTTTGTTAATGCAATCTGAAGAATTTAATATGCATAGAATATGTCGTTTTTCTTTCTCCAGCGCTAAACAATAGGCGCCTTATCATTCCGGCTTACCATTGTTAGTTTTCGAGTCAAACGTTGAAATCTGAACAAAAATACTCATCTCCCTGCATATTTGTCAAAATTTCCCCAACGCGCACTGCTTGTTGCTAGGCGACTGCCTGAAAACGCTCCAAACTAGCTCTGAGAGTTCCCGAAGTAGAATTCTACTTCCCTCAACTGAGTTGGTGAGGTATTACTTTCATTCTTTTAACACCGCTGATTGCAATGTGTTGGGCAGTGAACACGCGACTTAATAGCAAGGCGGCTGACGTAAATGCCCAATGAGCTGGTTTACGAGGGCAAACAATCCAGAAGCAGCCATCCCAGTTTGTATTGTCTTCGGCAGTATTCCCATCAAAAGAATACTTGGAATACTATGGGTCCGGTTCGCAAAATTCGCTCACAGCCACCGCACTATATGCGGGCGACGGTCGAACGTCGGAATCAGCAGCAAAATTCGGTAAAATGGAGGTTGTTTAGGCCGCAATCCATGACATGCCGAGTGGTCCAGTCACATGCGGGAGGTGCTTACGGTTGAGCTCCGATCACTGTTTCCTACAAGAACCGTAGAGAATCAAAGGTCGTGAAGAACAGAGTTGGTGAAGAAGTAGTCGGGAGAGCTGAACTCGAACTAGAAGCGTGGTACTGCAAAAAGTATAGTTGACCTATAACTTCCCTAAACTCCCTGCGCATGAGTTACACTTCCTTGACTGTGTTCCGAAAAGGCAATAGCCTTCCGAGTTAAGCCCTGCTCAGCCTGTTAATTTTTGACATAAAGTTTTGCTGACACCAACCAGTCCTTTATGATTGTGAAAATATACTTTGCTATCGCTTATGTAGCCAGTTGCCGGAAGTATGATGAAAAGTGCCTCAATCGAACAGGCGCCTAGAATTTATCGGTATCCTAAAATCAACTCCAATGAATAAAGTCCTGCGTTTCGAACAGAAGGGTGTGCTTTTGGAAGGTATTAAAATCATAAGTTAAGTCAAGGAAACAGATGGCGCTTTTGTGGCTGACAAAGTCTCAGGCAGAACTTTACGAATAAATTACTTCCCGAGGGTAGTAAAGACTATCATTCGGTAATAGACCACTACTAAACCCCACAACATGTGCCGTGCCGCATTTAGGAAGCTGTTGTCCCAAATCCAATCCGGCTTGTTTTACTCAAGGAGAGAGAATGTGTGAGAAGTCAGGAGACATTTAACTCGATAGTAAAGTGATCGTCAAAAAATGACATTAATCCAAAGTGGTTTTCTTACGCATAAGTCGTTGGAACTTCGATAGTGCTTCCCTGGATTCAGCAAAAACACGCATGTAAAATCCGTTTGTGGGACACAATGTTGAGCTCCGATTTCATAACACTATCCGCCTTTTTGCTTGTAAGTCAGTGGGTGAAACTTTCTTCCTAATTTGCTGCGCATTATGCATACATAATACGCTATATGATGAATGGAATTAATTTAAAGTGAATGCCCAATATAACAAAAAGTGCACGAGTGACATTTTACATCCGATTATGCCAGAGGGAAAATTTTTATGCAGGCCGAAGGAAATATTTTAGAAAAACGTGTCGAGTAAGTAAACCCTTTTGGTCCAGCGAGCTCGCACGGAAAATTTATGCACTGAGAAGCCATGAAAGCCTTATGGGACAACAGCAACCCCGGGAAGGTGAAGCCATTGTGATAGCCTACCAGCGAGCTAATTTTCGTGTCCACGGCCTTCAGTGAGCCCTGGCTGCAAAACAAGAAGGTTCTCGAATCCTACGAAAAATCAGTCGCCTGGCCAATTGTGACACTGTAAAAAGGCTGTGGGAAAGACTGGGATCTGTTATACCTAAGGGCTTATAGATGTCGTAAACCTCGATTACTATGCCGTACCACGGCTACCGTCGCCTTGTGGAAGCGCCAGAGGCAACCTCGATCAGTTACTGTGAACCGGCCTGCACACAAAATTCCCAGTAAGCCGCCTGCAAATGTCCGAGAATTCCAGAAGCATAGGTTTAATGGACATTGTTTAAAAGACGCCCAACATCGTCACTCTTTGACAGTTTCAAGTTGTTTGTGTACCACGAAAAACGGCAAATAACGACTCCTTCCTTAGTTAAATTCAGTATGAGTTTCATTGACAGATATTGGAGCTAAATCGCAGTACTGCGATCGACCCTTACCATCGCTGCAATACTGCGAGATTTCAGGTTCATGACAACTGTAGGATGCTTGGTCTGAAATTAAATAAGAACGCATCTCGTTGGCAGGTTTCTAGGAAACGCAGATCGCGGTTTTGCAGTGCGGCAGGCTGACGTACTCAAGCAGGCAAAGTCAATCTACGTCGATGAAATAGGTCTCGGGCGAAGCGAACGACTAAACCAAACAGTTCTTCCATTAATGTCATGAAAATCAAGGTATTCTCACATGCATTGCTAACCAGAAGGAGATAGTTCTCATTACTAATGACCATGAGCTCGGATACGTGAACAGTTGCAAATAGTCCGGAGTTAGGCTGCCGATACACAGCAAGGACGATATTGTCGCGCGAACCGATGCCTCTCATAGGTTAAATACGCGTTCAAAGGCGCCCACGGCACCTTACTGATATCCTGATCGACACGAACATCGGCGCGCACTAGGCTTCAGGTCGCTCAGTCCTTCTGCGCGGTCGTGAATGCTGGGTGGAAGACAAACGAAAGCTGATAACTTTAAATAAATTTTGCCTGATAAATATTCAATGAAGTAGCTACCCCGAATTCGTCTAGGATTTGACCGAAAGGGCTGGATACTACGGCATCATCTAAATATCTTAGACCAGCATAAAAGGATGGTTGGAATGGATTATGCATGTTTTTCGTCGCCCACCCCATGGATTTAGTGCCGCCACCTCAAAGTTGCCTCTGCCTAACTCGAGGTGACGAAAAGGCCCGTTAAAAACTTGGTTCGACACAGTTAATTAAGATATGGAAATGGTCCTCACATCTACAATAAAGGGCCTTCACTGTTGGAGGAGAGTGAATCCGCTATCTAGATCTTCCCCCGCTGATCGTCGTGAGACAATGCTGGGATCGGCTGGATTAAGAGTGAACGTGGTCGTAAAAAGCACCATCAAATAAATATACTAAAAGCCTCGCTAACAACATTAATTATGCACGAGACTTCAGTCTGAAGCAAAAACATAAAATCACCACTAATTTGGATTCTGGCTTTAATCTATTGAAAGAAACTCATAAGTCGATAATAAAACCTTATTATTAGGATCTCAGGAAGATATCTCGCAGAGGCCGGTTTATTCTGGGATTCGTCAGAAGGAAACTTGGTCATAAGGCTAGTTCGTGCCAAAATAATAAAGAAAACCAGGCACTTTGTAAAATCCTGACCTTGGTACGCGCATATTTGAGGTTGCATATCCGACATGGACTATCTTAAACTCAGTCATGAAACAGCTGGTCTGCAGTAACGGCTCTAAATGAAACTCCGCTCCGAGAATAACCCTTCCCACACTTTTTGCTTTCTGCCTTCCTGTTACCTCTCATCCAGTCAGGCCGAGCTTGGAGTTTGAAAGAAAAGGAAACCCAAAAATCATGTGCAGCGCATATCAGAGCTATGTGAAGTGACAGTGGGATAGACGAAAAAATCGGAAAGGCCGTAAACGCTAGCTTACGCAGCCAGTCAGGGGAGCAATGAAAAACTAAAAAGGCCAGTTTACCTGTAGGTTAAATTGACGCTCCTGAAGTTTCAGAAGTTCTTCGCTTTGCAGAATGTGCGCATCACAAATTGGCTTGATAATTGGTCGAGACGGGGGCGAGTGTGATGCTTGAGGTGACTGCACTAACGAGTCAGGCATCCGCTCCAAGGAATTAAGACATGTGATATGGCTTTGACTAAAACCGCCGTCCTCGGCAGTATCTCCGTAATAAGGTTCAAAAGGCCGACCGAGACTGGATGATTGGAGAGCGCAGACCCGAGGCGAAAAGTGGTCAGCTAAGGGTAGATCTTCCTTGTCGCTCAAAACTTGTGGCAGAACGTGGTGGTTTGCGCTTCTGGTTTCTTCAAAGGGAGTACCCATCGCGCAAATCCGTGTGATGCGATTCAACTCGTCGAGTCGCTCCGCCAAATCCTCGATCTAAAATTGGTGGGATGAGATTATGTGTGAGAACATTTTCTATGTGTAATTTCAGGTTACGCTTTTCTATTAAGTAATGCAATTTACTTGCATGAAAACAATTCTAAGTAATTCTAGACATATTCCGCTGACAGGCAAAATAACGAAAATATCCCAGGCAATATTGGCAAAGGCTTCATAAAGAATTGTAACCTGTAAGCGTAATTTCGCAAAATTATGTGCCATCTCAAGTTTTTAGTAAAAAATTGGGAACTTCTGTCTATAATGTTACTGAGTTGAAATCGATATTCCCCGTTGGTATACAGTCAAACATAAGAAACGTGGGAGGAGCATTATACTAAGGCCAACAAAGCTCGCTCACTACTTAATTGTAAGTTCTAGTAAAAAAAATCACGAAAGCAGCGAGTCACAGGGACTGAAAAGATAGAACGTTGGCTCGCCAGTAAGACTCGTTTTACCTGGTTTCTGAGGGTCGTCCGAGTCATGGCTAAGAAACAAATATCCTCTCAGGTCGGTTTCCAAATTATGCAGTTTTGAGTAACCCAATCACTTTAAACAGTCAGCCGCCCAGTCGGTGCACAGGGAAAAAGCCTGAAAATCCAAAAAAATGTTCAATGACAAAATAGCAAAATCGGTTTTAATGAAGTAACATATTGATCCAATAAAAGGTGGAAGTAAAACCAGTAAGATCGTCCTAAACGGAAGTGGTGCGCATCCGGAAAAGACCCAATATCTCGAACGCTCAGTTTGAGGACAATCATTGTTTCCTGACTAACAATAACCTCCAGTAGGGAAACATTCCATTACGCTTGCTCAAAAAGGGCATCATAACAAGGCACAAATTACGGTATGATTCCAAATGTATAAGTTTTTGATTCTTGCGCGAAAATGTCTGCGTAGTCGCACTGTTAAATATACAAATGATTGATATGACCCATGGAAGCTGTGACATCCCGTTTTACTGTCAAATTTGTGCTTGTATATCTATTGCGCAAACACACACCTTCGAGTTAGACTTTTTGGACCGTAACGCGGCTTTAATCGTGTGCTTACTGACAAAGACAAGGGGGGCGGAGATAGTAACTTCTGGCCCGTCTGCTTTCATGAGCCAGCGATACTGAATTCGCCAGCTGGCGAAATCTGAAGTTTGAATCCACGTCTAGTTTTCCATTGAGCCAGACGCGCCATCAATTTGACCAAGGCCTCACGCTCTATCGGCTGCGATGTAGAACATTAAAAGTCGTAAGTGAGTGAGGGATGGGATACATGTATGCCGTCTTAACTTGGAGCACAGGTCAAGAACGCGTGCAGGCAGCCACAAAACAACGAGATATCAGCAACCAGATGTTTCGGACAAAAGTCAGGGTAAGCGAAGTAGCCTTTTTGTAGATATATCTAGATCACAGTTCTACTTAAAAAAACAGGATGTCTGTATTTTGTTCTACAGCCGGAATTAAGAAGTAAGATCCACTCGCATGCAATCCGAGAAGTTCAAAATAACTGTACAACAAAAAGTAAACAGCAGCTTGAGATTATTCTAAAGTATATCATATGATCCCAGAAAGTGCCAAACAACGATGTATTTCTCGTTGCTTTAGTCGAAGACACTGCCTAACAGGTTAATGCCGATGGACGGACAGAATACTAGTTCACCACTAATTATCTCGGTAAGTAACGGGAAAACACTGTGGCCAGGTTTATCTACAGTCTCACGAATCACACTGAGAGCCAGATGTCCAGAATGCGTCGGAAAATTAAACGCCCTATAAACGTCAGCAACTCGGTCGCCTTCTTTTAAGAACAGGGTTAAGGGTATTCAGTGACTAACGATTGTGGTTCAGGGATCTCAACATGACCTGCGATTGCAGGTCTCCTGAATTTACTTCTTTCCTGATAACATATATTAAAATTGGCAATAAGACAGTCAAGAAGAGCGCCGTGTAAGGATTCTTACACACATACTGGAGGTTCAAGAATGCAATTTACGAAAACCGAAGTAACTAATGGGTAGCCTGCTAGGCGCATTACCAGCTAAGTAAACTGAAGTAAGTATCGCTTCCTGTAGTGACTATAGCTTACCCTGCCGACACCAGCTCCGCCTAGCCCCCTCAAACATAGCGGGGCTAGATTACTTGACAAACATGCATACGCATGCGTGTGGAAGAAAAATTATAAGGAGACATACTAGGGCAGTGGGTACATAGGCTGAAAGCAAAGAATTAGTCAAAAACAATGCCTCAGAGTGAAAGAAAAGTGGCAAGTACCCAAAATGTTTACATATTGAAGTCGGATATCAGACGGCCTTTTCTGCATAAAAGGCTACTATAAATGCTTTATAAAAGACAAACAAATAGCAAAGTTGCCGGCTTATCGAATAATGAGTCCCAGAATTACTATTTTAGCTTCGACAAAAGACGAGGGGTAAAGAAGAAAACGCACAACTGAGGGGCCGGAAACTGTTTAACGCGCCGTGCGTTCCGATTACATTATTTAACAATTAAAAGCACTGTTGCGCAGACGTGATGCACTTTTTAATTCCTTCATCTGAGTCTGGAACCGCACTTGGCAGATATCACGATACCTTTTACTAGTGTATGGGTAGGAATAGAGCTAAAGCTAAACGTTGGGGAGCTAACATTTGTGAAAAATTGTATGCAAAACTTCTGAGGTAAAGTTGAAGGACATGGGCTTCATTTTATCATTCCCGGTAAGGATCTATACGATAATGACAAACTGTCAGCAGTCCAGGACGACCAATCCTTTGTTTCTAATGACGATTTCAAGTGCTTGCACTCTTTCTCTGTACCTCTTCTCCAATGCTGTTTCGAAAGGATTCACTCAGAATTATTTGCTATTTCCGAGCGGACATTTACAAACTACCGTAATTCTCTCTCCTTCCAATATGCTACAAGTGCTTATCCGGATAGGCTATCACAGGAGGTGATTTTTCAAGGCATCCCAATGACAGGATGTTCAGCTGCCAAGGGCTTCGGTCTATAATGCATCAATATTATGGCACCCCTGTGTCAGTCCGCGCCCCCTTGCCTCCCACCGATTAGTCACACTGCCCTCCTGTCCGCTTCACACTCCCTGTCCATCTGTTGCTGGGAGCAAGTGGCTTGTCATTAGCCTCGCGAGTGCTGAAGGCCAATCAGTGCCCCCTTCTTCTGATTGTCTGGCGGACACTGAGGCAGAACGAAAGGTGCACGCACGCCCTGAGATCTGAGCACCTCAACGGCAGTCACAGACAACTTGCCTGGAGAGGCCGCTTGTGGCAACTGTTTTCAGGGCCTCTTGTGCAACCACTACCTCGGCAGTAAATGCTATACAACACTTTCCGTCTACCCTGGCCTGTGACTTGGGAACTTTTATCCTGTCGACCATTGGAAATCTTCGAGTCAGCCTCTAATCTCGACGGCCTCACCGCACACCGACCGGATTACGACCCATATTTCTCAGATTAGTGGCTTCACTTCCCACAATTATTGGCCTCCTTAGAATTAATTTAACGCTCTTTAATGCGTTCATCCCCTCAATTCGCGAATGTTGTCGTTCCATCTTCCGTTTGATGGTCGAATCCAACCGTTCTAAGATTTAAAATGTTTAGCGGCATTCTAGTAGACAATTTTTTATATCAGATATGTCCATATAATTCAGGCTTTGGCAAACGCCGGTTTTCTACCCCGAAATATCTGGAGGTTCAAGATTTAGATTCTGGTTTTTGTAGACATTTCCGCATTAATAACAGATTAAATATTCCTTGGACTTCGGCCCTTTACCGCGTTAGTCGTTAGTACGTTTACGGAACTTTTCCTTCATTTTTGCTCCTTCTGTCCCTATCGCCACTAGATAACATGTTCTCTCTGCATCCAAGCATAGTCGCCGATGGAATAACCTGCCAATCGATGTTAGCTCATCAGGCAGACTGTCTGTATTTAAGAAAACACTACGGTTTTATCATAGCACTTACTCCACGTACTTGTCGTTTCCCTAATCGGTTTCGGTAAGTTTTTCCCATGATATCGAGCATGGACCACTGGAAATTCAGGGGACATCCACGAAATTATCATGTATGCCTAAATTTTTCATTCAAAGCTTGGCTTCACTGTCATATACTCTTAAAGGCAACCGAGCTTTCTCAATCTGTTCACGATTAACTTCGGAAAATTTGATGTTCACCACAAACTACCCTTCCAAAACTGGGTCCGTATTTTGTTTCTCACACGTGCTTGCTTCCTCGCTTTCGCTGATCGATTCATCTTCATCAGGATTTTATTCTGGTCGCTAAAATATGGTGGCCATATCCGAGTTGATGGCCACATCCCGAGTCTCTCGCAGCCTGATATCACCCAGTGCGCTTCTTTTAATGAGCTTGATTGCCTGTCTGCTCTGCATCCTACCTCTTTGAGTAACTTACCCTTCTCGTCCATATCCTTTTGCGACTCGGTTCTATCTCCCGAATATCTCACTCAGGTGTGATAATTTCCCTGAACGCACCTGCACTTTCGGATGAATTTAAGCATTTTGTTACGCTGCCTCGCACGGAGCTCGAACTTCCTATCCAAAGACATCAACTTTGGAATTTGCTAAAATTATTGTCGCAAGTGTCATATATTAAATGAAAAACTGAGGCGGACTTTCGACTCCCAGACACACGTGTGAGTAAAGATGAAGAAGTCTGACCGATTTTCCGGACACCTTTTTATTACTCTGAGCTCTAGAACTCTTGCAGGAGACTATTGTCAGAGATGACCGCAACAACAGGATGAGTGACAGTCATAGGGGACATAAGTCTATCAGTGACCAGTATCGCAGGTTTATGGTAACTGCGCAGGACTCTATACGTCAGCGCCAGATCAATAGACCAATGACTGCGTTCTCCTCCCAAGCTAGCCCTCATTCCTTTCTTGACTTTTCTCGTTTCAAGGGTGGACGATTATATTGGGTGTCAGGAATTTGACATTATAACCCGTTCCGCAATTGTGGCAGCCCCTTACGATAGTTCGTCGTCCCGTCGCCCAGACAGTTCATATTCTGGTGTGCGCAACCAGAGCATGCGTTCAGGCTTATCTATGCAGTTACAAAGACAGTTCAAGAACGGAGTACGACACACGGCCCCAGGCGGCTCCTTGGGGTTAAATCAGTTTTTGATTTTACTGACCCTGTTGTGCATGGTAACTTCGGGCCTGTGTACAATCACGGCACTCTGTTCCGTGGCAATGTCAACTTCGCAGCTGTTAAGACCATCGCTCTCGTCAAGGGCAAACAAGCCGCGAACTGATTGAAGCCTGGGCGTCAGACATAAACTCATACAGCAGATGTATAGATCTGACGCCGACATGCAGAGCACTGCGCGGACATTTTCAGACCATCATCACTGATTGTTGGTCGGCTAATGTCCCTTTTAAATGTTACTCCTACTTTCCCTGGCGATTGGCTTCTGAACAGGGTCGAAGGCTCGGAGTAATGAACAAGTTTTCCCGAC